AGTCCTACTCCTACGACGACGACGACTGCTGCTGCTGCTGCTGCTGATGCTGCTGCTGCTGCTGCTACCACCACCAGAACCACCACCACAACCGCCTCCAGCCTTCCTCACTACCAGCCCATCATCCTTGGTCATGTCAATCCGGAACGGCTGCCGGCCTCCCGGACGCTCTGCTTGACCTCTGATGCTGCACTTTGCCACCCGGCTGCAGTCCTGGGGGCAAGCGAGGGCCTTCATATAATGGTACACTGCTACTATTACTACTGCTGCTGCTTCTCTCTCTCTCTCTCTCTCTCTCGCGGACTCAGAGGTCTGTCAGCCGCGCGGCCGTCTAACACTTTGTCAGACACCGAAAACAACCACTGCAGAAGCTACTACTACTAATTAGGGTACGGTGACAAGCTGCGTCACTAGCGAAGCTAGGCCCGAAGCCTACTAGGGATATTGCTTAATTTGGAGGAGCCTCCTTCACTGCAACTCCAGTGGCTCCATATTGGAAATAACGACACCCATCAGGGAACCCACGAGAACAAGAGATAGAGCATCGACCTACCGTCAGTACTGAGACTGCAAGCTCAGGCTATCTGCACCTTGCGGCAGGCTCGGTTGGACGCACGGCGCTTCGCAGCAGCACGGCTGCCAGCTGCCTTCGAACAGTTTCATGTCGTGCCTCACCCTTTCAACGGGGGTCGAAAAAAACTACTCGCAGCCTGCAAGTGTCGCGCCATGGTTTTAGAATCGACAGCTCAAATCCATCCAAATCCTGGACCGTGATTGCGCCTGGCGGCTCCAGGTGCAACCGCCGAACGTGTTACAGCAGCGAAATGCCTGGGACTGACGTGAGGTACGCTCCCAGATAACCGTTGTTTGTCCTGAGTCCTACTGTATCGAGAACAGCATGCCTTTATCGAGCTAGCTTTTCTTCCGACTGCTCCTGTTAACAACTAATGCGGGTATTGTCAAGGTTATGACAGCGCCAACTATGACTATGACGTTTGGCGTTGGTCATCTGCAAACATTCTTACGGTAACCATTCCGAAATTCACGAGCGCTTCCCCGATCCCTGCGATCCGAGGGGCACAGCAGCCTGCGCCGGCGAATCCTGCAATGTCCTCAGCAAGTACCTGACGAGGTTTCTGATTTTGCGCTTTCACATTCGGAATCAGCCAGATGAGGTTATCAGGTTACAACATTATCAATATTTTTCACTCTTGCATCACGGGCAATCCACTGAGGTCCACACTCCGCCCTACAGAGGCAAATGTCTAGTCTTGTCTGGTCGGGGGTCCTTCTGAGCTGGCACTCAGCCCAAGCGTGCAGCCGACAGCCTCATGAAAATCGTCCGCGAAGCTTTCATCGTTCAGCAACTGCTGCACCCCAACCGACACAGCAACATTCTCCACCTCAATTGCGAGGGCATGAACCGCAGAAGTGAGGAAGTCCGATTCCCCCACGAAACCATCTCCGTCCAAGTCCATTCTTCTCAGCAGCTTGGAGGCCAAGGTCTCCGATCGAGCCTGCAAATGTTCACAGCAGCCCTCAGCAATTTTGAGCGCAGTCGCCTTGTGCTTCTGCAGCCGTGGCTGGAGCTCCTGAACCACAGCTGAGACATCAATCAGTCGATCTGCTTCGTGGAGGAAGCTTTGCCCCAGGCGTACTTGCTGGAACAGATTCACAACCAGAGATTGCGCCAAAAATTCCGGGAAGGCCACAAGGTGTGCTAACACCAATTCCTCAATCTCTTCCAAGTCAAGTCCTTGGTCCTGCGGAGTGTCACGGGCGAAGAACAAAGTATCCCAAACGAGTCTGACAGACTCCGAGCACTGGTCTCCAGAGAAAGCCTCCAGCTTGTCCTGAAGCTCCTCGCGTTGCCCAGCAGCCAAGTCATGCGCGCCGAGGGAACCCTGTGACGCAGCTTGGTGCGCAGCTATGGCGGCATCCTTGATGAAAGAGCGGCAACTGCCATGGGTCTCTCTCAGGAGGGCTCGCAAAGCCACTACCAGAGGATGTCGGCTGGGATCGTCCGTCTCAGATGTCATTTTCTGGAGCGGCTGAGGCTGCAAGCAGCTGCAATATCTACGCGCTATCCATGGCCTCTGGAGGTGCTGCTCTTTCCTGTCATCTGTGCACTGCCAGATCAGCTTGGCCTGTTGTGTCACAGTCTTTTTACTTCAAGTAGAGGCCTGGCACCTCCTTACAGGCCACACGATATAGGGATGGAGCCAAGCTCACTGCCATTGAGCCACGGCTTGAGCCGGAGCCGTTTGAAGGCTTCCAGATGTTAGGATTCGGGAGCATTCACTCTCACAGCCTCTGGAATCGGGTGGAGCTCAGTTCGATTGCGGGACACTGAGTCGATGTCACACTTCTGCGGTAGGATAGCCAATGCGTAGAACATTACAGCTTGCAGTTGGGGCCTGAGTGAGTGGCACGGCGCCTGTGAAACCTCAATAAGCAAGCCCGCCGGAGTTCACTCCGAATACAACCCTTCAGGAAGAACCGTTTGCCCTGGCAGGCAAGTGCCAACTTGACTCTGCCCGAGGCAGACTCCGCACCGACTGCACGATCAAGAAGGCAGAAGGCTCCTTTAATTGGTTGAGCATCACATACCACGAGCTTTCTGGTGGCCTCCACGACTCCACGACTCAAGTGCTAGCCCTGCCGACCATTGAGGCGAATTGGAGAACCCCAAGACTCGACTCAGCGTGCCATGAGGAGACGGAGGGGTGGTCACGTCTCAGCCAAACGAGAGAGGTTTCGAAGCTCCAAAGCATCCGATCCCAGAATTCAGCAAGCAGCTTCCTTCAGGCTTCTATGTAGCCCAGCTGTGCCTTCCCTTCAGCCCTTCTGCCGCAACTGCTGCCAAGCTGCTGCTGAGCATCCCTGCTCACCCCACCTCCGCAGGAGGCCAGCTCCAGCGCACGCAGCACCTCTCGTGCCTGCTCAGATGCTCATGGTGTTGCAGGGGACATCGGATTTCAAGCCATCCCTGAACCCCAAGCTCCCCAAGCTGCGGTGGAGAGCCTTAAACAAGGTGCGGAGGGTTCGGGCGTAGGACCTGCTAAGGCTTTGCTCTGCCACACCATGCCCGGCCTCTTCACCATGCCCCATGCATGCAAACATCTCTGCTTCGCAGAGGCATTGCTGGGGGCAAGTGCACAATCTATGTCGTCCCTCGTTTATGCGGGTGTTCAGGAGTTCTCTATCGAGGGTCCGAGGACGCACTCCCGGCTTTCAGGAGTTAGTGTTTGGTTTAGTGCCAACTTCATACTGATTGATGCTTCGCGCATGCTGTCCTGCACATGCAACGTGTTCTGAAGTCCTGGCATGCCTGAAGCCAAAAAGCAGCTGCGGGACGACTGCATGCTCGGTGAGGTGCCCTGCGAGAGCAGAACGGGTCGAGCCAAGTAGCTTCATGTTGGAAGTCCCACTCGCCTCCTTGGGTTAGGCCAGCTCTTCTACCCCGAGCCCCAGCAGAGCACAGCTACATCCACCGAGACTGAAACGTGATGTTTGGCATTGTTTGGCCCCACTACGTACAAGTCAAGGCTCGGTGCCCGCCGTGGAGATATGCTCCGAAACGTCAGAGGCCGGAATCAGCACTTGTGCTGCTGATACACAGTAATTTGGCACGAAGGCACACCTCGGTGAACACGCAAACTACATCAGATTGCATCGGCCTTGTGGCCACTTCAGAAGCGGTGCATGGTGTTTGCTTCTGCCGCTGCTTGAACCTTGAACTGAAGTACACTCCCCATCGTTTCCTCAAAGCTCAAAGCCTCTCTGGGATTGGAGGCAATATGGGGCGGGGAGCTGCTGGTAGATGCAAGCAACGCAACCCAGGCACTTCAAGTATGCAGACGTCTCTGGATCGGCGTTGATCACCTGCATTGTGGCAGGTGCTGCGTCCTAGGTCTCCCCTTCACCTTTCGTCCAGCTCTAATGGTCTGAACATGTCTAAACTCTAAATCGGGTCGACATCTGCAGTCCATGCGAATGCCAGATCTGCCAGCTGGCACAGGTCCAGCCCCTAACAAAAGCAAACAAACTATGCTCAACTGTTTCGACGAACAAGACTAAACTGTCCTTCTGCAGACCTGCTTTTGTGTGTTTCCCATTCCCTGCCCATACACAGCCCGGCCCCCAGCCTAGCAGAACCATCTGCCAGCGAGGTCTTTGTGCGCTCTATGCCGAAAACTTGAGAAAGTAATATGGGTTGTTCCTTCCCCTCCCAAGGTTCAAGTCGCAGAGATTCTAATCAGGCTGCTTATCTGCAGCAATCCCCAAAGAAGACAGCAGAACAGCTTATGCATGACAGTTCGTGGGAATTAGCGCCAGCTGTGCGAAAGCATTCGGCCATAAATTTAAGTCGAGTCTAGCTGATTCCAACGGGTATTGACTCAAAGCGGGATGGCTATCCAGGAAGTCTGAAGAGACAAGCCTTGGCGACGTTGTTGATCAGCTTGATGATGATCTTTGCATTGGCGTACGCCGTAGCTGCCTCCGACACACAGGTCAGGATGAGGTAAACTACATTAAAGAGGGCACAATTAGTCATCAGTCAGCGTCCAAACCTTGCCGCCAATGAGGACGACTCGCTTCTGACACCTCGCACGAAGCGGGCCGTGGACTGGCCAATAGCAGATTTAAACCATCGCACGCAGGATCCTTCAGAAAATTCGCCACTCTCTTGAAACTTATAGAAGTATAAGTGCAAACTGCCGTGGACCTCACTTGCCTGGCTTTGGCTGAGGATCACGAACGATCATACATCTGCTTCAGGCAAGCCACTGCTCTCTGTCGCCGGGCGATGCACGTTTCAGCTCCAGGTAACGGTGAATGACAAACCTTCGTTCACCCGCTTCCGGCCAAATCCACGCCAGCGCCAACACTGGCCAAGCAGAAGCCCAGAGACTCCAATACCCCTTAATTAAGGAATATACCTTAAATCTTATTAGGTATCCTACTATAATCTAAAGTATTTTCCTTGACTAAGGAGTCTTGGAGTCTCTGGGAGCATACGGCCTTACTCCGGAACCCATCAGCTGCCGGGCCACAAGATGTTCATAAGCTGGCGCTTGTACTCGTGGATTCTCTTGATCCTTAGGCATGGGCGACTGTAGACTTCATCGTGGTAACCGCACGCGACCCTCGATCTTGCGAGCACATGGCTTTCTCCTGCATCACTTCCGCTGCTTCGGATCGAACCCTGCTTCGGAGGGACGGTGAATTCTAGAGGCTCAGCTCTGGCTGGAGCCTGAGCCAGCTACAGGGCCGCGAACAAACATCAGCGGCTTTCAGCAGCTGCTGCTCCAAGTCTTGAAGTCCCTCCACTGGGGATCTATGACGTGCGGACGGTATGCTCACCGCAGACCTTTCCGGCCACGTAGCATGGCTCGGAGCACGCCCTCGAACTTGGTTCTGCTCTTTGCTGTTCCCACAGCTTGAGCTGTCCACGCCGTGCATGCAATAGTGCCGTGTCTCGCTTGACATAATCGCCGCCAATCTTCATTTCATGCGTTGGGCTTTTAGTTGTATCAGAGTTAATGGTTCGCGCTTTGGGTTTTAGGCTTTAGGCTTCGGCCCTGGGGAACGCTGTATACGGCGGGTCAATATGTCCAGCTTTGTTGCAACACCTTGGGACCTCCGGATCACAGCCGCGAAGCTCGCAAACAGAAGACACGATGGGCGTTCTCACCTTGAGTCGAAATGCACACACATGCGCACTGGCACTCTCCGCCTCATCGCTGACAGCAGTCCTGTTCGACCGCGACTACTCTTTGCAGCTGTGCTGCGCAGGAACAGCCGCATCTTGTCGTCTTCCAGATTCAGGTTGGTCAACTGCTGCTGAATGGCCTGGGGCGGCTCTGCTTCGCTACCAAGAAACTATGACGACGAGTCACGGAGCAAAGAACACCAAAGCCAGGTCCTGGTGCTGGATCATTGGGTAGTTGGAGCCGTAGAGGACTCTCTTAGCACCACGCCCTCGCATGTACTCAACGAGTGCATGTGGATAGCCTTGTCACGCAGGCGCAGGAAGATGCAAATGCAAAGGAAGTGTTGTCTCGTCTAAGGGGCCTTAGGCTTTCTTGATCGCCAACCTGTAAGCTTTCTCTAAAGCAGCCAGGAACTAGTAAGACAAAAGGCTCTGCTGGTTGTGCAGAAACTGACGGTCCTACGGTTCTTTACATCTCGTCGAGTCTCTTCTTACACCGTTTGGTCCACCCTAAGCCCTAAAGCTGCCGCTGCCCAGCAGGGCCTTGTTGCTGCTGGATACAACCGCATGGGTTCAGGAGTCGAATGTTGCAGCACTCGATGCAAACTGGGTGGCGCGAGGGAAGATAGGCAGACGTGTCGATATACAGATTCGGGAATTTGCCAGCTAGGAAAAGCATCTCGTCCAACCATGGAGCACCTTGGTTTTTGCTTTATCGGTGTTCTCCTCTGTGCAGCCTAAGAAGTGGAAAAGGCAATACTATTCTTCCGCCCACTGGTAGCTGCTAGCTGAAACCTTCGGTGGAGCGCCAATGTGTCCGGCCACCACCACCAGGTCAGGGAAATCCAGCAAAACCTGCTCCAGATACCTGCGCAATCCAAGTCGGTAAACCTGCCTCCTAATCGCTTATCGCAGCCGGGTAGTCCTTTCCACTTACAAGGTCGCGAAAACCCAAGGAAAAGAGCGAAAACTTTCTCAACTGTGACAGAGGCACGGGATGGGCCGGCCCATATCACTGGGCCTCATGGGGCCCGTCTGCCCGACCTCAAAAAGTTGGAGGCGTAGGCGTAGGAGTTGCCAAGGCTCCAGGACTTCAGAAGTAGAGCGGCTCGGGGCTTCTCGTGTCAGCAGAAAACCTATTGACAGTACCAGTACCAGTAACGGTACTAGTACCACTACTACTACTACTACTACTACTACTACTACTACTGCTACTACGACTACGACTACGACTACGACTACGTCTACGACCACGACTACGACTACGACTGCTATTACTACTACTACTACCACCACAACTACCACTACTACCACTACTACCACTACTACCACTACTACCACTACTACTACTACTACTACTACTACTACTACTACTACTACTACTTCTGCTAGTACTAGTACTACTACTACTACTAGTAGTAGTAGTAG